TTGTTAAATTATACCTTTGCTATTTTGCTAAAATGGTTGTTTGTTGTTGATGAACATTTAGAGAGGATCTTTAACACATTTTTAGAGTATTTTCCTTCAAAAAATGGAGATAAATGTATTCTTTTTTATTTTTATCCAATGGATTTGAAAGGAAATTATTATTTTATACTTATAATTTAAAAAAAAATATTGAAAATATTTTAATAATACAATTAATATTAAAATCTCAAAATAATTATTGGATTGATGTAATATTTTAACATTTCCTTCTATACTGTTTTTAAAATTTATAAAAACATGTTGAAAATGAATGCAGCGAGGCAATGAATGCATGCCCCCACACTCCCAAGTTCCAACTGCCCCCACATTTAATGCTATATTTCTCTCTCTCTCTCTCTCTCTCTCTCTCTCTCTCTTTGTTTTTTTTTCCTTTGCTACTTTTTTTTATGAGAGTTAAGAATGAGTAAATTTTTCTAAAGTTTATAAAATAACATAACAGCTGAAAAAACATTTACCACCTCTTAACAACTGAAATATTAACAAAATAAATTGAAGCTAAGAAAAAACCAATAAGACATATAGTTATATATATACATATAAAGGTTCAAACGAGAACGATGATCGACTATGAAAACAAGAAAACAGACAAAATAATGCATAAAATCACAACCTCACAAGTATTACCTTGTGGTTCTACCAAGTAGTAAAATAGCTGCACAACCTCATCTTCTATGACTCCAATATACCTGAATCAWTTTCCACATAAATGCATGGATGTTGAGATATATATACACACACACATGAGGTTATGATCATGGATTGTGTTTTGGTGACAAGCTAGTAGAGTTAAGATGAAAAGCGTAAGAACGGATTTCCACCCTTGTAAGCATATTAAGATGAGATGCACCGTATCTCGATCAATCCCCGTAGCAAGCATGATTAATGGACAAGTTTGAGATTAAAGATGATTAAGCGTCCAGATCTCTTCTTACGCTTCTCATCTTAATTCTCTTTCTCTAACGATCCTTCGCCCATGTATATATGCATATCACAACTTCAGAGATACACATATTTTATATATATATATATATATATATATATATATATATATAGGGTTGGGTTCACGTGAGACCAAAGGTTTTTCATGAGACCCGTAAGACCAATTTATGTTTATTGATCAACTTTATAAGCTAATGATCTAATGGTCTAAAGTTGCACGGTGACAATTTTGTGATTATTGAGAAGTCTCGTGGCGTTTATGAATATTCAGATTGTTAGATTGTAGATCTAATCCAAGAGTTAAAAAATGGTCTTACGGGTCTCACGAAAACCTTTGGTCTCACATGATCCCAAGTCTATATATATATATATACACACATATGTATGTATATTATACCCAGTTTCCAATTTGAAAGGGAGAGGACCAGGATAGCCC